GTTGTGTTTTTGGGTGACGTCTGTAATCTGCAACTTTAATGATTGTGAAGAGTATTTTTAGAGTATAATTAACTACTGAATTTTTGGGAAAGTTACCACTCAGAAAGATTTCTCTTTATTTTTTCATAATTCCGAGTGCACTGCTTCTCTAATCTATTCTGTCATGACAAATAGTGCTTTTATATTTTCTAAGATTTGTTAGAGAAGTTTGAATGTATTAGAAGCAGGTTTCCTAAAAATATGGGTGACATACTTCATGAAATTACCTCTATGGAAATAGATTTTTGGAGGGGAATTACTGTGAGGATATGCATATATTTTCTTCTTCTTTTAGTATGTATCATACTTGCCTGCATCTTTCTTGTGGAGCAGTTCTAGATTGCAACATTTTGAACACTTCTGTTTTTAAGCATTGTGCTTTGCTCTTTGTATGAAATACACTGTACGCTAAGTTTTGGTCCCTCAGCAAACATTTCTATGCTTGTCTGTCTTCTGACTTGTACCAGGAGTTGCGTTTGCTTCTAATTGTGGTCCTCAGGGGCTTAACTGGTTCTTTCTGAATCTTATTACAAAAAACTTTATTTAAAAATATGTATAGACAGACTTACATCATCACAAATGATGCAAAACCAGTCAAATAAATCAAATGTCACAAGTTATGTCTAACAATGTGTGCATGAGCTGCAGCCTCGCAGCGATGTGAGATTCACACCCGGGAGATGTACTTTCCAATGCTCTAGGCTACTTAGCAAAGGAATTTTCAGGCATTACTGGCACGTGCTAAGATGTACTTCTGTAAGACATGTCTGTCCTGGATGCAGTAGGCATAGGAAGGAGTGATACTTGTATGTGCATATATCTATTTACACATGCAACACACAAACTGTTTTATGTGTGCACTTACAATTTCCTCTTACTACTACATATACTTAAATTGGCACAAAACGTTTGTCCCAAAAAGTCTGTTAGAAAAAAGGAACAAGGAGGAGCTCAGTGGTTCCTCAACTGGCTATAGCAACAGCTATTTCTGAGTGATTCTCATCCTCTCACCCATAAAATCAGCATAAAATTGACCTAACATTGCCAGATCAGATGGGGTATCTGGAAAGTAATCCTCAGGGAAAAGAAAATTCAGTCTTTGTAAATCTGAAGATAAAGTGCATGAAGTTGCAGAATCAGATTATACTTTCTCTTTTTATTTCTAAATCAGTATCCTTTTGTTTCTTTCTTTGCAGCACTTGTGAGAAGTTACCACAAAGATGTGTCAGATGCTGCCTAAGTCTAGCTCCAAAAGCAGAAACAAACATAATCTTTTGAAAAAAGCTCTATCCCTGACTCAATTATCATAAAATCCCAAGGCTTTCTGTAGGTGTTAGGGTTTGGTTTCAGATAGTGAAGGCATAAAAAGAGTATAGTAACTTTTCTTTTTGAAGCACAAGTCACATCAAATTTTCTTTCTTAATAAATGTATGGCAAGTACCTACTAAAATAACCAGTTAAAAGCCAGTAATAACAACTGCAAAACCCAGCTCAAAGCAGTTGGATAAGTCTTAGAGGTGTGTAATTTTTGCTGAATGTAGCTCTGAATGTTTTTCTTGAATTGAGTTAGGAATATTTTTTTAAATGTTGGCTCTTTTTTGTTTTTCATGAAGGAGTATTAAGAGCATTATTCTGCCTGTTTAGATCATATGAATTCAATTATTCTTTCCTGATATAAATATTCTCTCATGATATAAATATCCTTTCATGAGATGAAAATAAATGTTGTTATACCTGTAGTTGAGTGAACTGGAATTTACACTTGTATTTATCATTTCAAGTGAGACCAGAGTAGTACGAGAGACCTCTAATATGAGGTAAAGATAGCAAGCTGAGCAGGACACTAAATTATATTTGCAGGTTTTATATCTGTTAGCATGTCAGGGCAGCAAAATAAGTTATTGAAGCTGTTGATCTTATTGCCAGTAGGCAACGGGGTGTTCCTGTGAAATGCTCTTCTGCTTCATTGGCACCTCACGGCGGTGTGAATTTTACCCATTTTTTGACCCCAAACCCCCAGTTACCTAGAGCCATGTTTTGCTTAATTCTGAGATTGTACTTTGCTCCTGATTGTGACCTTTTAAAATTATGCTTACAGGTTTTGCTATTCCGATCTGATTCCTTTTTTGAAGCCTGGCAGTTATACTTCCACTAAGAACAATGAAAGAAAGAAATGACCTTTCTGATTTAGAAGTTTATACATTAAATGTTACACAAAGTATCAGAAAGCCCTGCGACTTTGCTACCGCCTTGCTAAACTATTCAATATACTAAACGTTTCTCATGTAACTGTACTTCCCATCTGCCGGGTCGCATTGCCGGGAAGCGGGGAGCTGGCCGTGCCGGCTGCTCCCGGGCCGTGCCCCGCCGCGCTGCAGGGCGGGCGCGCACCGAGGCGCAGGCAGCAGCTCTCGAGTTTTGCAGTAGCAGCAACTGCAAGTGGTACAGTGAGACTTGGGAAGTCCTGAGCAAGAAGCTGGTGATCAGAAATGGAACTAGGGGCAGCTAGTATCCAGCTTGTATTTCATGAGGCCTAGCAGATGCTTAAGGCTGGATTGCTGCTGGGTGAAGCAATCCTGCTTTCTTCTCACCGCAGCTCCCCATTCCCTGTTTTTTCTTCCTTTTTTTTTTTTTTTTTTTTTTTTTCCTGGCACAAACCCAATGGTTTTGGGGAACTGATCTAGTTGACGCTGACCAGAAAAATTCCAGATGGATGGTTTGATCTTGGTCAGTTCTCTCACCTGGTTCAGTGTGTGGCTGTAAAAGCCTGCACCAGCAGGAGAGAGACGATGGTACAGGATCACCAACAAGTAGCTGGAAGTGGGAGTGCAGTGGAATTGCTGTTTTGCAGAGAAATTTATGCTTGAAATGTTTGTGGGCAATACAGCCTTAGATTTGCAAGGTCTTTTAAGGTATTTTTTTTGATTCTGCACAATTTCCAGTGTTTTTTTTAGCAAGTAATTTATGAATTACTTAACAATGAATCTTAGATATCTGCTACCATGCTTGCCGTGCCTTGAATTTATCAGAGATCACTGCTGATATGTAATTACTTTATTTTTCATGGTACTACATTGGAATAAAAATAAGAGATCCCTTACAGTATAGGCACTGAGATTTTTAAACTGCAATTGTATGTGGTCATTACACAGATGTGTTTGTGGTTTAAATATACACAAAATAGATGGGGGAAAAAAGGTCACAGTTTTAAGTAACCATATTTATTGGCTCTCACATTTTTATAAACATAGCATCTTCTCTCTTGTTTCATGTCTGTGTCCAAAAGTTCTTGCTCCCCATAGTAGATGGAAGAAGATTCCTTGTGCAAAATACATACAATCTCTTAAATAATAGTTCTAGAACCCCTACCCAGATGTTCTTAGGAGCAAAAATGTGCTTGTCTAGTAAGAGTCAAATGGCCACATTTTTGTCTAAAATCTCAGTTGGATTTGAATTAGATGAAAATTAGGTCTAAATTAGGTTGATTGACAAGTTGAACTTTGTAACATGCTTGAAATGTATGTTCCACTGTTGGTTTAACATCTGACCTAGGGTGAAGGAGGAATGCTGGCTTTGGTCTCCAGCTCCTTGTGAGCGGGCCAGCGGCAACTGTGGGTGTAGCAGCTGCCTGTTGAACGGTAGGATTTGAAATCAGCAGCTGGGAATGAAAATACTGGCAATGACGTTTCCATTCCATTAAAGCCTCGGTTTGCAGCAGCAAACATATGTGGGAGGATGAAGAAGAGTAGAAACCTCCGTACTTTGCCAAAGGTGGAGAACTCTTTGGTTCTGATGTAAAGCAGCAATGACAAGAAAGTTTTTGATTTATCAGACGGTGCTAGTGGTAGAAACTGAAGTGGAAATGCGAATACATTTCCCAGACCTTGGCTGTCCAGAAGACAGGAATCCCAGCAGCTCCCGAGGTAGCTGAGAGGTTTCAGTTCTCATCAGGCGGTGTCCCCCGGCGTGTTTCTCCATGCGTTTCACCCTCGCTGGCACCCGGAGCTGTCGGCGGCTGCGGCGGGCGGATCTGTCTGTCGTTGGCCGGGGCACAGGCAGGAGTTGGGGAGCCCTCCCCCTAGTCCAGGCTTTGGCACCGACCTGGGTCTCCCTTGCAGGAGGCCGGGCAATTTCACTTTTAGCACATGGGCAAATGGTGCCACTAATCTGTTGCACAGGAGCACTGTGAGGCTTCATGGGTGTTTGTGATACAGTTTAACAGTAGCGCCTCAGGAAGGTTTTGTATCACAGGAGATTAAAAGCTTTGGAGGGATGAAGTGTATAATTCGTTTTTTGTTGAAAGGTTATGGTTCAGGTCGTTGTGTTAGATGCCTTCAAAATAATGTTAATTGTAGACTAATATATAGCCTAAATAACACTGATTATTTAGGTAACTAAGAGTTTTTAATAGGTTAATGAAAGCTTTAAGGTATTACTGAAATGCTGATCTTAAGTGGCTCTGAACAGAAAATGTTCAAGTGTGCTAGCTCTTCTAAACTGCTTTGAGAGTGCTGGTTACATTGGTACTATCTTTAAAATCATAAATGACGTTTTTCTATACCTCATACAGATCTGTTTCCCTCTTCTTATCCTTCTACATCTTTTTTTCCTTGGATGGAAAGAGGTTTTATATCACTTTATTTCTTACATAAAATTAAAATGTGAAAATTGAACACGTGCTTAAAAAATGAAGTACTCAAAGGTTAAAAAGAAAGAGTTGAATATGAAGATAGTTCAGTACATTATAACCTGCTACCATATGTAAAACAATAAACATATAGTTTCATAAATATGAAATAAGTCTTTTTAATAAACCAGAATCTTCCTTAGTTTTTAGATACATTTTTACACTTGCCTCAAAGCTTGACGCTAAGCTGACCCTCTCTTTAATATTAATGTACTCTGACTGTAATACTCTGTTCCTTTGCCTCTGATTAATGCTGTCTGTCAATTATTTACAGATCCAGTGGTACTGTGGAAGTTCCCGGAGGACTTTGGAGACCAGGTTGGAAACATGAGATTGAACTTTTTTTTTATGTTAGAATAATAATAAAAAAGCTCTCCTATTCAGCTGTGGAAAGGCAGATGCTAATGATAGCAGGGAGGAAGTCTTCACCCAACTGGTGGCTCGGTGATTAGGATGCCTTTGTGACAGGAATATGCAATAGCAGTTGTAGAGCACTGTATATCATACTAATTCTCTGTATCACCTTATATTTGATACAGAGTATTTTATAAGCTCTTCCTGTTGGAAGTATTGGGTTTTCATCTGTTGTAGAATTGAAAATACGGAAAATTTATCAACGCAATTTTGCCAGATGCTGATGTTATAAATCGTGTTAAGAAAAACCACCAGAACAAAAAAGTTGAAGAGCTGCACATGTATGTCCTTTTACTGTCAGAACCTGCGCATCCCATTCCTTTTATCCTTTACAATGCAAAATTTTATATATTTATGTAATAATATTTTAGAGATACTCTAGTTATTTGCTTGGAAAAAAAGTAAGTAATCCTCACACCCTTATAAGAGACAATGATCTAAACTTACTGATTTTGAAAACATGAAAATCCTAGTTTCTAGCTATAATTAATCCTCAAAGGGAAGTTTATACATACAGAGCTGATGGATTATTTCACTGTTTATAGCAATAGCAAAGCTATTAATTAGTATGTTGTGTTTTTTTTTTTTTTTTTTTTTTTTTTTCCCCTGGACTATTTTAGTAAATTTATTAAAATTTAATGAAACTATTAAATTTTATTATTTCAGCAACTTCTAGATGAGTTTCTTCCATGGAAATATTTTTATTTTTCATAAATAAAAATACATAAAACCACTAAATAGAATAAATATCTCTGACTCAATGTCTTTCTTTGCTCTTCTTTTTAGACTGATACTGAGTCAAACATATTCTTCATTGGTAATATCACTACAGTGGATGATCTGTAAATATTTTTGTACAGTAGATCTTGATAAATCGTTGATTTTTTTTGAAATCAATAATACAAGATTCTATAAAGATGGCTGTAAGATGATTCATGATGAAAGGAATAAATAAACAAACTTAGAAGGTAGGATGTCTGGTTAGGGAATAGCATCAGTCAGAAACATGTGCAGCTTATAAGATAGTGATAAATGGTACATGAGCAAAGTGTGCTGTTATATGTTCTTAGCTAGACATCCAACAAGTTTTGATAATTTTCCTGGCTGCAGAACAGTCATCTGCATTGTCATTTAAATTCTCTTTTTCTGTTTTGTTTTGTTCCTTTTCTTTTCCCTAAGAAAGACTTGATCTTAAAAAAAAAAAAAAAGGAAGAAAGAAATTATGTATGAACAAAAATGGGAGCTTATTCAGTAAGTCGAAGGTTATTCAAAGAACAGCTGGTGCAGAAAAATGATTAGAAGATGAAGCTCACTAAAGACTGGAGGGGAATCATACAAAGATGCAATAGACATACCTAATCTATAAAAAACAGAGTCTTCAGGCAGATCTCTGCCTTTGGGCTCTGAAAAACCTATGCCTGCCCATTTGTGTCTCAGCAGTGTAGGGAATATAGGGTTTCAGGTAAATTGCTTGTGTTCCTGGAAAACAGTGTGCTTTAATCCTCATCCTTACAAGGGAAATTTTCCGACTAGAACCACTGGATTTGAACAGAGTATGTAGCAGCTTCTATAGCAAACCCCTGAGCCAAGTAGTCAAGTGAAATCATCCGAAGACTTCTGTGTGCATGTATATGTGCATGATGAACACAGTAGGTCTGGATTGGAGACTTGAATATCTACAAGATTTAATTTAAAAAAAAAAAATAAGAACTCACTAAAATTATCGAGGCTAATTTAAATGAAAGTTTGTGGGGAGAATATTTAAAAAAAAAAAAAAAAAAAAGGAAGAAAATAACGTTCTCCATCCTATTTTCCAGTCATTTCTATTTTAAATGTAAAATGTGTGAGTTAGTTTTTGGATGTATCCCAAAGAATCATCTCTCCTAAAATCTAAGGGCTGTCTGTTTGTACAGTGATATGATAACAGTGGGCAAAATATTTTCCTCTCTTCATGAATTTTTCTACAGTTTATCATGTCACCTTTTTGTTGCTTTCATAATGCAAAGAAAACTTGTCTAAGCCATTTTGATATATTCTTCCTCTTTCTCACATTCATCCTCTCAGTATGCCTGAACTTTCCAATGCTTACTCATTCCTAATCCTCTCTCTTATTCTTGTGGCCTGCCATTTTCTTTTATGTTGGGCAGTATTCTTCTTAGTCCCTTTTTATCTTAAATGTTGACTTTCCAAAATCTTGTTTTGCAAAACTCCCCATCTGTTTTGGATGGGATATAGAAACTACAGATGATCAGGAAAACAGAAAGATCAGTGATTTGTCATAATCACTATCTCACATGCAGTCCCTTAAGTAAAGGTAATATTAAGGCACAGTTTTGGTACCACAAAAGAAATTGCAAGATACATTGTTTATTTTCTTATCTGCCAAGAGTGCAGGGAAACCACTTATTTTCTATCTGGTAATTCTTCATATGCCAGAGTAAGAAGGAAAAGGGAAAAATGCAGATTGGAGAAAGGGGAAAAAAAAAGGTAATGCTTCAAGGCAGGAAATGAAAAATACCTTGCCAGGAGCGTTTCAGAAAGTTGTTCTTCCTTTTTTTTTTTTTTTTTTTTCATGATGGGAGCAATTAACTTTTTAGTGACTCTCAAAACTATCAATTAAGCAATGAACTCAGTGCTGGGTAGGATTCTAAGTACAAAGAACGACACTACCATTTCAAAGAACGTCTTAATTAAAAAGTAGTCCAAAAGCGAAAAGAACTATTCTGAGACATCACAGAGTTACAATTTACTGTTGTACTGGCATTAATTCTATAAACATGAGTTTGACAATGTTGAAAAAGTTCTGAATAATCTCGACACTCTAGACAAAATGTGAAGATTCCTAATTTGGGCATATATAGCTCTTTTGTGGTTATCCTCACAAGCTCACATTTGGATAAGGAATGAATTGCAGTCATCTAATGGAATATTTTTTTTTTTTTATTTAAAATATGCTTTGAATGTATATGCCTACAGGCTCTGTCTTGAGTACGTTCAAAACTCCTATTGTGCTCAAATGAAATTTTTACGATAAAAGATGCATATGTTTTTAATCTTGAAATTAATATTTTCTTTGTTCAGACTGGTTAGACTAGCGTTTGATTTCAGCCTTTCAAACGGAAGTCTATGCAGAGAGAATAGTAATGCTATGATATCTGGCAAAAAAAATCCAGTAGTTTTTAAAAATAAAGTATTTTTCAAGTGTTTTAGAGAAGCAGCTCAAATAAAAACACCACCTTTACTTCCAAATGAAATACTTCATTAACTGTTGAAAAAGAAAATGTGTATGTCACCCAGCAGAACCGAGATAGCCTGCTGGCAGTGGAGCCAGTGGCAAAGCCCTACTTATGTCATGTGTGTCCGGGTGTCTCCAGTATACCCCCGTCTGTAGCTGTTATTCTGGAAATAAAGCACTGGGGGTCCCACTCACTTCACGGGGTTGAAACGTTCCTGGGAAGAGGGGTGGTGTTGGCACAAGGAAGGGCGAGAGCCCAGTGCTGAAAGCACCAGCAGGTGTAAGTGGCTCTGCCAGAGGCAATGCTGCTTTCTGTGTTGTCTTAACCTTTAAGCATGTGAAGTCTAACATTTCTTACAAAGTTAGTAATTACAACTGTTTTGGATATTATTTTTAGCTGTGTAGAATTCAGTTGCTTTTTAATCTGGCTGCTTATTGGGTCAAAGTGATTTCCATCTGCAGTAGGTCCCAGAGTATATGGTGTACAGAAAAACTGATCCACTGAATAGTTCTTAGTCTTCTCCCTTCTAATCGTTTAATAATATAATTCTTTAGTCTGCTGGTGAAAAACATCTCACCAGAAGAAAGATACAAATAGGTAATGTGGCAAGAGACGGTCTTACCAGAAGCCACTTCAGTAATATGAAATATGACAAGAGCATGTTGACTGAAGATGTGGGTTAAGAAAGAATTGAGACTCTGCATTAGGTTGTTAGTTGTGTTACAGATTTCATCCGATCTTCTCTTGGTCTCAGCTTTCTAAGGCAAGCACACTAAATTTGCTTTTTCATGTCAGGCTGTTCCCAAACCCTATAGGTGAGTAACCAGTAAGGGATATGGCATCCCATGTGAGGAATCTCCACTTTTTCTATGAAGTTAGTGTATCGCCCTTTAAGTTATTACCTCATATTTTATATCATAGCATCTAGCTTTTATTTTTGATGTATCACATTATGCAGTAGTCACCAATGAATTGTGATCAGTAAACCTTACTCCTTATCCTGTAGTGACCCAACTACTGAAACCTGATATTATACATGTAAATTTATCAGATTCATGTGAAAATATTTGTATATGTAAAAAATATATAGATATGCGTGCATGTGTGTAAACATCAGTTGTTTAAGGGATAAATCCTATGAAGTACTAATATGTTAGCCTTCCCTCAGCAAAGCACTAATTGCACACTTTAGTTTCAATGTGTGTATTAACAATTGGAAGTTAAGCCTGGCTTGAATGAATGTCTGATTGAAGTCAAAGTGCTCGGTTTCTTGCAGGATGGAATATTTAATTGCATGGATGTGGCAGCAGTTATATAAATGAGATCAATATGAAAGAGGTTATATTATTTTTTTAAAGATGTTAATAATAGCACAAGTTTTATTACAAAAAAAAAAATCTCAAGAAGCAAGCTAAAGTCTATTGTCTGGGTCAAAATAATGTATGGAAACCAGTTGTGATGATTCTGTGTTCCTCGGTGCTCTCCTACGAGAGCAGCAGGAACCCAGGAGGTATGAGACTGTTTACACTTTTTCAAGGCTGCAGGCATGCTGTTAGGGGATGCATCACACTGGCTTTCTGCATTTGATGGCTTTGTTCTTTTATTCTGATGAGGCATTAAATACATGTTTCAAATGTTTATGCTAACTAGATAGGTGCTTGCTTTGGT